GTTATCAGATTTCACTGAAATTCGTTGTAAGACATCTTGTTGCAAGAAGGGACGTAGACTTCATAAGCATGAAAGCACTGATATTCAGATTTTGTGAAGCTCTCACATAAAACGTAACAAAACTGAACAACCATGTTTAACAACCACAATGTTGATGTGCATTCGGCTGAAAACCATGCACAAAGACTCGTAGTAACACAAGCTATCAGCACGCGAAAGCTGATTGAAGTTTGAAGTGCGCACTTGTGATGGTTTCCTTGTTAGCTGACGTGTAACAAAATGCTGCACAGTGCGAGATGAGATTGCTGAATCGTTTTTCATAAATGCGGGATGTTTTCTTGTAATGCGTATTGAACGAGGATTTGACGAGAGTCGAAGTTTCTGTCATCTAATTTCTGATGCATTAGAGAAGTTCATAGTTACGCGGAAAAGTAATTTGCACCCAGCAACGATACGACATTTGCCCAAGTGGCAGTTAACTGTAATCAAATCGTTCAGACAAACGCCGAACGGAGAGGTTCTGGGATTAAATAGGGAACGACTAGTCGTACAATCGTATCGGCACAAACCGGCATCCGATTACCATTTGTCTGATAATCACGATACAATTGCTAATTCTGCTCTTCGTGTTTCGAGCTGGACCGGCACGTAGACGCAACCGAAATTGTCTAGGGGTTGCGTAATGGAGTTTTGGATCAGTTGGCACGCATTGTGTCGGCGGTTGTTCTCGTCAACGTCGTCAGACGCGGAAACCGCATTGCCGGTATTCCATGTATCATTCACTCACAATCAGTGATCCAGTAAATTGAGCGATGATGTTTCGTACTGTTTTCGAGTAAATTGATTATACTTTTTTGTTGAACAACCGTGAACAAGTGTTCAGACTTCCAGTGGTAAGATTGTGTAATTTGCGCAATCGCTCACGTTACAGTCATAATACATCCTAACAGACTCAACCGCGTTCTTAATAAACTTGAATTTCAAGGTTAATTGTAATTATAATCTCCATGGCCGACGTACACTTAACATTACAATAATTAGTTTACTAATTGATGCAATTGCTGAAAGGATATCAAGTTGGAGGTTAATCATCTGCATCCTTTACATTTGCCCATTGGTTTGCTCATTACTGTATTCATTATTACAGTTATTTAATTGAAGCAGTTCGCAATTGCTATACTCAAAAATACGATGAAGAATGAAATATATATTGTTTTATATATTTTTAATTTATTGACAGATGTAACAAAGGACGGAAACATGGTAGTATTAAACAGATAAGTTATTGAACCTATCAAAGAAAAAATGCTTAATTTCTTTCTAAGCGAAATGTGCGTTTTTCTTAAATGTAATTATATTTAACATCAGAGTATAATTTAATTTATATTCGATTTAACAGTGTGGTCATTAGCAGCCATTCAGTTCGTAATATAAAGTATTTGATTCTGAAAATTGTATGCGTGCAAATACTGTACACATTGCTGTATTTGTAAAAAATTTGACATCGAATTAATAACATCATACAACTCCTGTTTGAACCCTTTTCTATTTCTAATCCTAATTTTAAATGTACAGTTTATACACTGAGAGCAACCTGTATGCATATAGCATGCAGAGTGCGTCACGCAATTGGAACAAGTTATATTTCGAATTTTGTGAAAGACGAAAAAACTGTTGAGAAAATAGTGGAATTGCGCAATAATGCGAATTTCTCTGCCATTTCAATTTCTTCGCGAATGCAGCGATGCATCCGAGATACACGAATACAATTCTCTTTCAAAATGGAATTTTTCTGTTTTAAAAATGAATTTTTTTTACTCGTATCAATTCCTTGGAATATTGAACCGTGTGTTTACACATATTGGACTATGTGTTCACACGTGTTGCGCTATGTGTTAAACATTTACTAAAATAAGTTTGTTTTAAGTAATTGATTAAAAAAGTTAAAATTTTACCCGAAATATTAATTTTTAAATATTTTATTTCAATATATTTCATGCAGAATATTTGAAGAAATTGATGCGAGTAAAAAAAATATACATTTCTATTAGGATGAGGTGCACTTACACATTTTTAGTGCATACTTACACGAAGAAAATAAAGTTGTAGAAAAATGAACATTAACATACCATTTTACTTCTTCTGCAGTTTTTTCATAGGATTTACTATACTCGTTCTAATTACGCGACACACGCTGTATTTTGACTATGTTATTCATGCTTGATTATAGAATGTGTCAAAAATCTTTGTCTTTCAAAATCTAATCAAGACCAATTTGAAACTGTATTGAAACTGTACTGATATTGTATCTTCACCAATTTTTTCTTGAACACAATTTACATTCAGTAATTACATTTTAAAATAACTGTAATGTACAGTAATTATTTAATCACGTGGAACATATAGTTATATGTACAAAACTTCACCGAAATCTTGAGAAAATAAATAATAAAATTTAAGATGGTTCTGTGTTATGTTTATAAGTTTAATTACAAAATGTACATGTTAATATTTGGCAAATGAGAAACAGCAATGTTGGAAAGCTGTTGAAACGTGGGAGAACAGAAATCCTTGATTAAAATAATCATACGTTGAATCGTGTGCCAGCGCTGTTTGTTCTGGGATGGACTTAATCCTCTATGAATACTTGAGAGATTGAAGGTTGTGCATATGGGTAACATTGTGTAAAAGTGACGTGTGCACGTGAGCTTGACATGAATTGTCTTGGCTGATAGATTGGTAGTAAGAAACTACGTACTTTTTAATCTCGAAATTACTGTGCGTGGTGTTCACGTCGTTTTTTATTCTTGCTGACACATTACGCTTGACTTTACGCTTTTGAAGTATGTAGGATCTAATAACTTTGGAGATAACCAAATTTAGATATTAAATTTTCGTTGTTCAACTAAGTGTATTTACAATTCAACAAATTTTCATATGTTTAAATTTTATTTATTGTATGTCGTAGGAAAATGATGAAAATTATTTAATCAAATCCCTAAGGAATATGAGCAAGTCACGGAAGATGTTCAATCTTCTGTTCTTTCGCGAGTCCACGAAGGTTTTTCTTTTTTATATCGCTTGTTCCAAAATGTCCTGATAGTTTCATTAAACTGTTCTTCAAATACAAATTCAGAGTTTGATTTTTTTTATATCTGAACTCAGATATAGAATGAACACAGAGTTTTAACATATTTCGTGAATTGATCATATATCTTAGAGATTTGATCAAATCCCTATTTTTATCATCTTCCTGTGACATATACAGGGTGTCCGCGGCAAAGTGTTACACCTTAATATCTCATGAACTATTGATGTCACGAAAAAGTGCTTATATGGAAATTGCAGGGTAAAAGAGGCCCTATGTTTTGGCAGAAGCAAAATTTTTTTATTGTTATTAATGTAAAAGATATGATGGTGAAGTTTCGTTTTTTTAAATGGAACTATAATTTTGTCTCGATCAGGCGATAGTGCTTTTCAAGACGAATTCATCAAGGTTTTATGTACTTACCCGATTTTTATTAGTTTTCGAGATATAACGCTTAGAAATTTACTGATTTTCAGCAGTGACATCTCGGTTTGACGAGTAAGCCATAAAAACGTTCTTATTGTTACGGTAAGTGCCGCTGGTTTGACTCTGCCTGCCGAAACAGATAGGCGGGGTCTATGGTCAAAATGGCAGGTCCGAAGAGTAAGAAACGTGAAAAGTATTGTCCATTACGGTTTAAGTTTTCCGTATCGAAGATGATATTAATTGTAATTTGGAAGGTTGGGACATTTATTTAAATGTTTCAGTAGAGGGTAGGTATAAAGACAATTTAACAATATAACTGACTTGAAAAATAGAATACACAATG